GTTACCACACCCAATGATGGACAAATCCTAGCGACTAAAACACTGTGTACACAAGTTTGTGGTAAAGGCTTCAGAGGGAAGTCATGCTCAAAAATATGTCTGGTTAATGTTTATCCTGAAGGTCGTATAGAGGAGGGTAAAAGGATGTATGTGATCTTAGATGATCAGAGTAACGTCTCATTGGCCAAGACAGAATTCATGGCTACATGGTTGAGCCACTCACAGGAGAGCTAAGTATAGCCCTTCCAACTCTAATAGAGTGTAATAATGTGCCAAACAGTCGAGCAGAAATCCCAACACCAGAAGCAGCATACCACCACAGCCACATGCGAGCTATAGCTGACCAAAAACCTGCTCTCGATGATGGCGCTGAAATATTGCTCCTGCTTGGGAGGGACATTCTCCAGGTCCACAAGGTGCGTCGGCAGTATAATGGCCCTGTCAATGCTCCATTTGCCCAGAAGCACGATCTTGGGTGGGTCATTGTCGGTGACGTATGCCTGGGTGCACCCCTACTGAAGTAAACGCATTCAAAACATGTATTATGGACAATGGCCGTCCCAGTTACATGCGTCCTTGTGAGAACCTTGTCAAAATTAAGGAGGATTTCAGTCAGACCTTACAGCCGAACAGCTCTCTAACTTGGCCTCGTTCTCTGAAGCAGCAAGAGGCCCTTCTTGGTGCAAAGGTCTTCCAGAGGACTGAAAAAGATAATCAATTAGCACCCTCAATTGACGATTTGACCTTCCTGCAGTTAATGGACAAGGGGTTTGTTAAGGATGAAAGTGGCAGCTGGGTGGCTCCCTTGCCCTTTCGAAACCCAAGGAAGCCGCTCCCTAACAACAGGCAGCAGGCATACCAACGGCTAATGTCATTGCAGCGAACATTCCAGAAGAGACCCAGCATGAAGGAAGACTTCCTGGAGTTCATGCAAGGGATTTTGGATAACAATCATGCAGAGTTGGCACCTCCATCAGAGGGAAGGGAGGTGTGGTACCTTCCCATTTTTGGAGTCTACCACCCGCACAAGCCCGGTAAAATCAGGGTTCTTTTCGACTCAAGTGCTCGCTTCAAGGGTGTTTCACTGAATGAGCTTTTGCTTCAGTGGCCCAATCTCAACAATGGTCTTCTGGGAGTTCTTCTTAGGTTCAGGAAGGAAATGGTTGCCATAACTGCGGACATTAGGCAAATGTTTTATTGCTTTCTGGTCCTGGAAGAGCATCGAGATGTTTTGCGCTTTTTGTGGTTCAAGGATAACAACCCTGAAAGTGAAGTGGTGGATTACCAGATGAGGGTCCACCTCCTGTGGCGACCTATGGGCTGAGGAGAGCAGCACAGGAGGGAGAGAAGGATTTCGGCAGGGATGTCTGTGAATTCATTAAGAAAGACTTCTATGTGGATGATGCCTTGCGGTCCTTTCCGACTGAGGTTGAGGCGGTTGATGTTCTAAAGAGAGCCCAAAATCTGTTGGCAGGTTACAACATAAAGCTCCACAAGATCACATCAGACAAGGTCGATGTTATAAATGCCTTCCCTAAGAAAGATCGAGCCAAGGGTATGGAGTATCTGGACCTTGCAGTTGATGACTTACCCATCCAGCACAGTCTGGGAATAGCCTGGGATATGACAAGGGACAGAATCACCTTTAACATTCCCAAGCCCCAGAAACCTTTCACGCGCAGAGGAGTTCTTTCACACGATCAATAGCTTGTTTGATCATTTGGGCTTTCTGACACCTGTGACAATTGAGGGCAGGCTCCTTCTACGAGAACTAGTTACACAAGGTACAAATTGGGACACACCTCTGCCTCCAGAGAAATTTGAGAAGTGGCAACGGTGGCAGGACTCACTGCAAGAGCTAAATGATGTGAACATCTGCCGCACCTATGCTACATGTTCACTGATTAGGGCCAAAGGTACGGCGCTATGTGTCTTTTCTGACGCCTCGGTAAAGGCAATTGCGGCAGTTGCCTACTTAAAGGTGGAAACTGATGAAGTTCTCACAGAAGTCAGCTTCGTACTCGGCAAAGCCAAACTGGCTCCTCTGGTAGAGCTTACCATCCCGAGACTGGAACTCTGCGCGGCAGTGCTGGCCACAGAAATTGCAGACCAGATCAGAGAGGAAATAGGACTTAAGCTGGACAGGATCACATTCTTCACAGACAATAAAGTTGTGTTGGGTTATATAAGTAATGAATCTCGAAGGTTCTATGTATACGTGAATAACCGTGTGCAGCACATCCGACAGTCCAGCCATCCGAGTCAGTGGAGATATGTAGCCACAGAAAACAATCCAGCTGATTTCGGCTCAAGATCCGTGCCTGCAAGTCAGTTGCAAGGAACTGGTTGGTTGACGGGACCAAGATTTTTATTGGAACCTGAGAAGTCGTCATCAGACATTATAGCCATTGAACTGGTTAATCCAGACTCGGATGTGGAACTTCGTCCAAAGGTTACAGCACTTTCGACAAAAGTCTTAGGAGAGCAACTGGACACTAACCGCTTTGAACGCTTTTCGTCATGAAGTCGACTGACAAGAGCTGTAGCTCGACTATTACATGTGGCGCAAAGCTTCCACAAACCAACAGATGACGCAGAATGTGTTGGATGGCACTACTGCAAGAAAGGCATTACAGGGGCTGAGTTAACCAAGGCAGAACACGTCATCATAAAGAGTGTGCAATGCGAGGTTTACGCAGAAGAGATGGCATGCATTGAAAGCAAACAAGACTTAGCTGGGAGCAGTTCTCTAAAGAAGTTGCATCCTGTGAGAGACAAAGAGGGTCTGCTACGTGTAGGAGGACGTGTGAGCCATTCAAACCTACCTGCAGATGAGACTCATCCCATTCTTATCCCTGGCAAGCATCATCTTGCTGTATTACTTATTCGTCATTACGATGAACAAGTTAAACACCAGGGAAGGCACTTCACAGAAGGTGCTGTGCGTGGAAGTGGCCTATGGATAGTGGGAGCAAAACGAGCTATCAGCAGCCTTATCTACAAGTGTGTAACGTGCAGAAGATTGTGTGGCAGGTTGGAACAGCAGCAGATGGCGGACCTGCCCCCAGAGCGTCTGCAGCAAGAACCTCCATTTACCTATGTAGGGCTGGACGTTTTTGGGCCGTGGGAAGTCGTGACACGCCGGACCAGAGGTGGAAGTGCCAACAGCAAGAGGTGGGCGATATTGTTCACCTGTATGTCCACAAGAGCTGTCCATCTAGAGGTGATTGAATCCATGACTGCTTCAAGCTGTATAAATGCCCTCCACAGGTTTTTCTCAATCAGGGGACCAGCAAAGCAGATTAGGTCTGATCGCGGGACAAATTTTGTTGGGGCTACCAACGAGTTAAAGCTTGCCACAGACGCTCAAGAAAACAGTGTCAATGAATATCTACTCAGTCAAAATTGCACATGGGTTTTTAACCCCCCGCATGCATCTAACATGGGAGGCAGTTGGGAGCACATGATTGGAACGGCACGCCGTATCCTCGATTCAATGTTGCTCCAAGAAGGGAGGTCAAAGATTACCCATGAAGTCCTGTGCACATTGATGGCAGAGGTCATGGCCATAATTAATTCTAGGCCGGTGATACCAGTTTTCTCAGATCCGGAAGCGCCTCTGATACTTACTCCAGCAATGCTGCTCACGCAGAAGATTGGGACTCCACCAATTCCTCCTGGGAAATTCTCGGATGTCAATCTATTGAGTACTTGGAGTACTTGAATACACTTCAGAGCAGACAAAAGTGGCATACCAAGAAGCCGAATCTCAAGGATGGAGACATAGTGCTGCTAAAGGACAAACAAGCAAGAAGGCATGAATGGTCAATGGGAGTAATAGTAAAGGCCTTTCAGAGCAATAATGGGCTAGTTAGGAAAGTAGAAGTGAAGGTGGCCTCCCACCAACCCCCCAGGACTTACCTGAGACCAGTCTCTGAGGTCGTTCTACTCTTGGGAGTCAGAGGTTGTTTAGGTTAAAGTAGTTATGGCATCCTACTGTTGCCAGGCGGGGAGTGTGGTGTTATTAAAAAGTTACGAGAGACTGTTTAATATAGAGTACTTTTATTTTGAAGGTGTGGGTTTTATTTTGTAATTTAGACTTCTTGTGGGTGGGATCATTTCCTGTTATACTGCAGTTGTGGACATGTTGAAGCAGCACATGTTGTAGTAATGGGTCATGGGGCATCGTCAGTGAGTATCTTTAATTTAATAACATAAGACCCAATTTAGGGTCTTTTTAGGAACAATATATTATTTGTTTGTGCTGCATTTATTTTGTTTACTTACCTGCATTTGGTTATGTGTTTGTAATTTCAGTTTTACCTTTTCTTCATTAAAACTACCTGCCAAGTACAACACATTGCCTGCTCATTGGAGGAAAACATTTTGAGGAAACAAGTTTAGCTTGCTGTTTCATGTCAGATGAGAACAGTATAGCGTCTGTGTAAAAAGTCTCTGCCTGGTCTCTGCACGTTTCGTCGCGCTCAGCAAGTAATTGAGCGGTGCAGCAATTTAACAAAGTAGAGTCAAATATGTTTCTAGAACAGTGAATGGAATGTTGAAACTTGGCTAGAATATATTTTTGTGTATGTGACAAACTCTGGTGGTGATATGCATAAGAATAACTTAAGAAAAGTTTTATGTTTGTACTAGGATATGAATAGTATTTTATTTTTTATTTATTTTTTTATTGAGAAAACGTTGAAGGGTAATACAGAGACATTTGAATCAATGAAACAAAAATAATCACAATTCTGCATCTTATTTCACATCAATCATCTTTCTAATACATTAAAGCTAGCGTATATGATTTCAGAGATTGTTCATTATTAATATCCTCGTTTAGATGCTGGTTATGGTCATATAGTACAATCCTAACAATATGAATAGAAAAAAGAATGAAAAAAATCCATTCACTCTATTGGCTGTACAGCCGCAGAAATGTTGACCAATGTAAGCTGTGCAGCCGCACAGCTTATATTGGTCAACTGCTCTCATCTGCTCTCATCCTGGGTTTTTCAACCACCCTTTAAACTGATCAACCTCCTCAAGGGAGGCAAGGGGCAAGGAGATCTCCTCCGGCATCTCCACAACAGGCTCAGCAGCTGCCATTCTGGCCATGATCACGCTCATATTCAATGAAAGCTGATTCATCTGTTGCTTCATGGTCTCCATTAATGTCAGCATGTGGAGGTCAGCAGCTACAAAAAAACCCCACCAAATTCAAAGACAAGATATGAATTCTAAATGTAGCAAAAGCAGACAACACAGAAAATATTGTACATACTGTAATTGAATTGAAATCATTTTTTTAGAAGCATTGTTTTAAGATTGGTTTTAACATTTCTGAGAGAGTTTCTCAATTTTAAAATGGTATTGGTTTTGTTGAGATGGTTCATGTGATTCAACCTTGTGTAATTATTAGGGGTGTAACGGTTCACAAAATTCACTGTTCGGTTCGATACGATACACTTGTGTCACAGTTCAGTACGTTTCCGATACAGCAAAAAGAAAGAAATGCCAGAGAAATTTCCTTGATTTAATTTTCTTAATTATTTTTATTAAAACTAACATCATAAAGTATGATATTTTTTAACTTTGAGCAATGATGGAGCCAGTGATGCGCGGGTTGATCCGAAATGAGCGGGTGCCTGCGGTCACCCGCGGTTACCCGCAGTTACGGGTCATCCAAAAATGTTTTTAATGATATTCGGGTCGCGGTCGGTCGGGTCGTTTGAAAAAAGATGCCAATTAAACATTTGTATTAGTACTAGACACAATTTTTGATGAAATATAAAGCCCTACACATTATTGGCTGAATAACTGGCACGAAGATAACACACAAGCTCAGTCTAAACAGTTCTCGATTCTATTCGAGAACCGCTGTCCCTGTGCGTTCGGTAGTACGCAGTATCTATGCGCAGTATCAGCTGCTCGTGCTCATCACTTCTCTCAACAGTGGCACCAACATGTCTCGGTTCAGTGAACTGTTGGAGTTACTGGAGTAAAATAGAATTCAGGATATTGATTTATTTCGATTGTCAGGCATGTCTGAAAGTAAGTAACTAACTTGTGGAGCAGCACTGACGCAAGACGCGAACTGTTTCGAACGATTCAGTTCGATTTAGTGTAGGTTCGACCGGTTCACTAAAAAGAACCGGTTCAAAAGAACGATTCGTTCACGAACCGGCCATGTCTATGATCACTACAGTCTGCAGAGATGGAGGCGGCAAGAGAACAGGTGAAGACTGGGGAGTGGAAGCTCTTAGCTCCGCAAATAGAAAGAGTAAAAGTGTGGGAGACATTTGCTGAAATAATGAAATATAATGACCAAAGTGCTGGCTTTGCCTTTATGTGTAGGCCAGGCCTACGTCTTCTTGCGATGCTGTGTTGTTACACGTCTATGGCCCAATAACGCTCCGATGAGCATTTACTACTTTTAAAAAATGCGGTCAGGAAGCGGGTCGGGTACAATATTTTTTTTACTTTTTTTGCGGTCCGAGTTGCGGGCGGGTAGTTGAAAACGTCGGTCGGTTGCGGTTTGTTTATACATTGACCCGCGCATCACTGGATGGAGCTATACTTGACTTTTCTTAGGAGCTTATAAAACAAAACAGCTCCTTGGACAAAATTAAATGTAATATTGAAGCAGTTAAACAAATGTTTATTTTAGTTCAGATTAACATTTGAGGGCAGCAATTGTATTCATAATGTCAAAATGAAACTGACGTGATGTTACTTAAAAGCATTATAGCCTACTATTCCTGCCAAACTTCCATGGTAACAGTTAGTGTTACTACCATGAATCCATGGTGAGTGTTTCTGATCTGTGGACACTGGATAGTTCATTCATGGCACAATGTTTCTTCCTGGGTCCAAACTGATAAACGGTCCGTCAACCTTACAATAACGAGTAGCTCAGTTTCGTTCCGCTTACATTACATTTGCCATTTGATGTTGGGCAATGATGTGGTCATGCCTACGCATGCCTCTTACATTATGAGCGCGCTTGCTACGCGTGACGCACCTAAATTTTGATGTAAAAATGGTTCAACGAACCATTCGGTTAAAAAATGCGTACCAAAAATCGAACCGAAAGCCTCATACCGAACGGTTCAATAGAAATACTTGTATCGATACACCCCCAGTAATTATATCTTAAGTTGTTCATGCTATGTTGTGATGTCTGCGGAATAATTCACTCATGTGTACAGATGATTGGCTCCTTCCCAGAACGCCCCATATTCAGACTGGGCACAAATACTTCCGTGGCTCTGTTGCTAGATGCCAAACCATCAGAAGACATCCCGAGAGGTGGATGGGGTAGAGACAGATCTGCATTGTTGATCTGAGATGAACAGTCATAAGAAGATTGGAATAATTGCAGAGGAGGTGTAGAAAAAGAGGGGGGCCTTGAAGGGGATTGTGGTGGATGTGGAGAAAATGACGTTGGCATTGGAGAAGTGAGTGGTGGAAGCGGAGAACAGGAGGATGGCACTGGAGGGGATAGTAGTGGAGGTTGGGTGAAATAGGATGGCCCTGGAGCTGGTTGGTTGCTAAACAAAAATCATAAAACATAAGAGAAGGGTTATAATGGAACTATTTTATAGTGACTAAAAAACAGCAAATTAATAGTTTAACAATTGATTTCCACAACAGGACAAATACTGGTTATATTTACCATCGTGACGTTAATGAGGATCCTGAAGTAGGCCGATTTAGAATCGATGGTCTTGGTGCCTTCTTGGGTGCAGGCTCTCTATCACTGTCTTCAGTGTCACCATAATGGTGCCTAATTTTTAGGAGAGACACATTTCACTTAGACTGACACTTACACTTTTACACAGAAAACTACATAAATCGTATCACTTGGCACTTGCACCTTCACACACTAGCACCTCTTACACCAACATTAGAGCTGCCCGATTCTGGTTAAAATGAGAATTACAATTTTTTAGCTTGGAACAAAGATCTTGATTTATCTCACGATTCTGAAAAGCTTAATTATTTTAAGGATATACAAACCATGAACAATAGTTTACCAAATTTAAACAAATCGTTAGCCCAGCATAATTGCCATAAAAAGTCATTTTGTGTTTTTTCTTGTTTTCCAAAGACATTGAAACATGACTTAGGCAATTATGCTATGAGGCTACTGTAATGCAGTAAACAAAAAGTTGAACATTCAAATGCTAATTCAGTATTATTAATGTAATTTTCAGTCTTACATTGGTATTTCTGTGAACGTGACAAATAAAATCCTTGGATCCTTGTATTATATCCATTTGAACCTGACAAATATCATAATGATTCTCTCTTACATAGGTTTAGGTGTCCTTTTGCCTCGACCAACTGCCTCATTTTCATCATCAGAGTCTAGCTCCGATGTGTCACATATCAGTGACTGTTTCATACCTTGCCAGGCTGACAGGAAGTCACCTAAAATAACATTTACAAAGATAAATCACATGCAATCTTGAATCAAATTATTAACAAAATAGTTACTGTTGGCTATCGGGAGACACAGTAAAAGGTAATAATAACAACTCAAAATTGAATACCATATGTCTTCAAAAGTCTGACAGGATGCTTCGACCAGTTGTGGCCTGGCACCTCGGCAAACTTCACAGCTTTGTTGATCCTCTCATCGTTTGTGTAATTTGGCCAGAAAGTAAAACCATCATTGTACCATGATTGAGGCACCACAGACACAGACTTCTTGCCATCAAAAAGTTGCACAACACAGAACATTCTTTTGAGAGAGAGAGAGAGAGAGAGAGAGAGAGAGAGAGAGAGAGAGAGAGAGAGAATAGCATTACCACTGTGCCTTAAAAAGCCCCCTGAAAAAAATCAGGTTTCAAGTATGAATGGTGAGTACTTTTCAGAAACACTGTATATTGCTGGTGTGTCATTTTTATTAACAAAATACATTTTACTGGTGTCATGAAAGTGTACTTACATGTACATAAAAATGTGAAGTAACATAGAAGATGATGCTCCAGAAACTAAAATCTATCCACAACTAAGAATAGACTATCAGCTGTAATACCACCCTACCCAAACATTTTAAACTAGAATTGATCAAACAACTGATCAAACAACTCATCCTAATTCAAAAACAACTAGAATTGATCAAACAACTGATCAAACAACTCATCCTGATTTAAAAACTACTTTATCGTTTCACTGAATGTAGAATTGGTATGGATACAAAACCTCTTCTATGGGGGAGCAATACACATTTATATGCAACTGCACACACTTTGGCATACATGTATTGTTCTGATAATGGAGAGACACTGTAGATATTCAGAAAGTCTGAACTGAATGGATAGGTAAAGAAGATGGACTTATCAAAAAACCTTCTATAAACTAAATAGATGCCATCATGACACTCAATAATATTGTCAATCTTACAAATATCACCAGCAATGGCAAAAACATTGTTCCCTGTTGAGACTTTGATAGTCCACTGGTTAGAAACCATTTGGCTGTACTGCCCTTTAACCTTTCTAGAGGCAAGCTCATTTGGAACTGGTCCAACAAAATGTGGCATTTTCAAAGAGATTGGTGTTCTGTGACTGTCAAGGATTTGATTCTGTTGATTTTGCTCAGACAAACGACGTAGCATTTGGTCGAGGGGACGTTGGGGTTTTCTGACAAGTTTCTTTAGTTTCTGCAAGTGGTTCTCATACGGGAAAGCTGATATATTGTCGAGACAACCGTGCTGTCTCACCTCTTGTGCTAAGTGTACTAGTGAATGCACATTGTACACAATTGCCTCCTTACCATATATTTCCCCAAAGTGCGTCACAAATGTATGGAGCAATCTTTCGGCATACTGCCAGTGCATCGAGGACAAGGTTGGGCTGACTAAAATGGCAATGCTGGAAAACAGCAGCATAAAATTCTTGTAGATATTTGTGTCCAAGTATGAAGGCAGAATGACAGGTCCAATGTACAACAAAAACATCCTTAATTCCGTTGCTTTCCACCTGTCAATGTCCCTGAATGTTCTGGGTTTTCTTGCAAATTACAATGGAATATAGTTGCGCAAGCCTGTTAAACTGTCGGACATCCGGTCAACAATCGAAGCAGGTAAACGGAATCTGAGAGCTCCTCTAAGCCATATGTTCAGAAGCTTCCTAACAACACCTAACTATTGAGTACTCCTGCCCTGAGAGCAGCACGTAACACACTAAAACAACAGTGATTTGTACTCCTGCCCTGAGAGCAGCACGTACTACACTAAACAGCGATTTGAATTTATTGAGTACTCCTGCCCCAAGAGCAGCTCGTAGTACACTAACATAACAGCTATTTGAATCTATTGAGTACTCCTGCCCTGAGAGCAGCACGTAATACACTAAACAGTGATTTGAATCTATTGAGTACTCCTGCCCTGAGAGCAGCGTGTCATACACTAAAATAACAGTCATTTCTATCTATTGAGTACTCCTGCCCTGAGAGCAGCATGTAGTAAACTAAAATAACAGCGATTTGAACTTCTGCCCTCAGAGCAGCAAGTAAAACACAAAAATAACAGCGATTGGAATCTATTGAGTACTCCTGCCCTGAGAGCAGCAAATAAAACACAAAAATAACAGCGATTTGTACTCTTGCCCTGAGAACAGCGAGTAATACTCTAAAATAGCAGGAGATTTTAATCTATTGAGTACTCCTACCATGAGAGCAGCATGGGGTACACTAACATAACAGCGATTTGAGCACTCCTGTCCTGAGAGTAGCGCTATATAGGGCGGGAGATGTTATCAGTTTGACCGTTGAAATATCGTGGAGATTTGAACGAGTTCTGTTGTCGCATATCAATTTCACACACAGCGAGGTAGCATTGAAAAAGCGTGTTTTACACCATTTACACCATAAGCAGATTTGTGGTGGTCGACTGATGAAACAGCAGGGCTCTCAAGTCTCACGCATTTGGCGTGAGACACATGCTTTTCAACCCGTTCACACGCTCACACGCCACACCTTGTATTTCTCACGCATAGATATTACGAGGATAACGCATACCAAGTTGCGGCGCTATTTTTTAAACAGTGAATAGAGCAATCAAGTGAGTTCCCCGTAGAGCTTTAAATGCCCTGCCACACACTGCTAATCAAATAAAAAAAATATAGCTATCGAACTTGAACACCCAATCAGAAAATAGTATTGTGGTATCTGGGTAAGATTTTCACAGAGTCGCGCGAAACAGATTCGGATCCTCGCTGAAGTAACAGAGAAGAACTTATCATATCGTACAGTAAGTCATCTCATCATCGCTGGGAATATATGTGTCCAAACAGCTGGAATTAACAGTTTGACCAGAGTATCATGTGAACTAGCTAACCTATCTAAGGTTAACCGGTTGAATCCCTGCTAGTTTCAGCAGCTATTCCAGGGCTCGACATTATAAGGCTTGTCCGCTTGTCCGGGACAAGTGGATTTTTTGTAGGACAAGTAGAAGAGAAAATTAGTTATCCGACCAGACAATAAAATTTCAAACAAAATAAAATGCCATGTTACTTCACGTTATGTGCCACTCGTTACACCGTGTCCTAACTACACGCGACGCGATAAAATTCCAGCGACAGCAAGTGTGTCTGTCCACACTAGACGCGACGCGACTGTGAGATGCCACACATTCAGAACAGCGTGTGAGCCTATGATGTGAGCAGAGTCTCTCTGTGAAAGTGCACTGTTGGCCCGCACTCGCATTGGAAATGGGTATGGACAATCAAATCAAGAAATAACATTAAAAACATTAACAAAATATACTCATTGACTAATTTTGTTATGAAGTACAGTTGTATGTTTGCATAGAATTCATTTTGAACGCTATATTACATGCTTTCAAAATCTGAGGTAAATTATCCTTATCGCTTGTGGGACAGTGACCTATTTTTAACTAAAAATAAATAATGTATACTCATAACCAGTGAAATTTCTTCATTCTGTCAGCCGCGACGTCGCAGAAATAGGAACCGTTTCTAAATTAGAAACTTCGCGTGTCGCCGTCGCGTCTGGTTAGGACAAAAACTCTGATTAACATGGAAAAGATACCTTTTATCGCGTGTCGCGGCGTCGCGTGTAGTTAGGACACGGTGTTACGTATATTTTACAGATTTAATTTTACCGATTTGAAACGAACACATTTTTCGTTCTGCCTGTGAATGTCCTGAATGTGACTCACAGAAAGACGTGCATGCACATGCACAGACGCGCCAGAAGTTCTCTTTCGTGCTTGAACGATAATCAACAACACAGTTAAGCCAAAATGTAATTTGTCGAGTATCTTCATAACATAAGAGCAGTCTTATGATGGACATAAAGAGTTGTGACTCGTCGTGAGAGAATGAGGCGCGTGTGAGATCCGCGTCTCTGTCCACAGCGGTTGCTCTTAAAGGGCCAGCTACCAAAAAAGCATTCCGTTAGTAAAGTTAATGAAAGAACAAAGGGAACAGAGAAAATTACTCACTGCTCTTGACTAAAGAACTTGTGTAGCTTTAATAAGGAGTAGTCTATATATAATTTATAATTTATGCAGCGCAGACTGTTTGATAACTTTACTCAATTTCTGTATATGTCCTACCTGTTATAGACAGTTAATTTTTATCCAGACATCAATGGCTTATTGATCATTATAGGTGTTATCAATCATTTATTTGTTATTGCTAATTTCAGAATTATCACTAATCTGTGTGTGCATTTGGTTTAGAACCAAACAAGTTGACTCATGAAACCATTTGTTTATTATATCGCAATCGCATATCACAACCGCAATATTGACCTCAATAATCGCATGGCTTGGCACTAGATGGAACCCTGTCATCCATCATGACAGTAAAAATGGCTGGCCTGGAACCCCAGTGCTTCAAATGGGAGCCATCAACCCCTGTGCTGAAGGCCTCAAAATCTGCTACCAACACCCACAATAAACAACACTACCATTATCTTTCTCTCTCTCTCTCTCACACACACACACACACACACACACACACACACATACACACGCATGCACAAAAAAATGCTGAAATAAATAAATATTATTCTATTTGTAAGAATATGTGTCATCTATCAGATCAGAAACCCGTCCACACCAAACCCTTGCTGCCGTTGCGGCCGCCGCCAAAATCTCACTCTGAACTCAGTTCAAAACTTGAGAGCCCTGAAACAGTCTAATCAAAATGCATGAACACGATATGTAGACGATCGATGATTATTAGTTTTGTGCATTTTAATGTTCGCTGATTATCCTAATAAATGTTAGAGGAAGATTAATTTGAACAAAATATATAATAAAATCACTTACCTTGCCATTGCAATTCTTTCTCCCACAAACATCTGTTTCCCCGGGGCGATCTGAATCCCCAGAGAGCCGGACTAATCCCTCTGCATGTTCAAACGTCTTGACCCCGCCTTTGCTTCAGTTTCATTGGTTGAAACTGTAAACCAATCATTTTCCTTTCTGCCCTCAGAACATGTTTGAGCAAGTGAAACTCCCATCTGCTAACATTTTTGCCACAGTTGATTTCTGAAGTAAACTGCAGTTCATAATATTTAGGGCCAAAGCCCTAAAAGGGCACAGGGCCCTGTTGTTTTGCTTAGGAAAATTGGGAAAATTATTATTTGACTAACTTTTTGACACTTTTAGGGCTCCTAATGTGCTCGAGAACCCGTGGCCATCAGGGCCGTGCTGAAGCTGGTACCTGGCCGTGGCGGGGGGCTCGACAGCGCCCCCTGGAACCGAGTCCGAAAACTTGGTCCATAAATCAAACACGATTTGAGACTCTTAACATGCTTGAATTTGCATGAAACTCGACAGATACATTACACTTATTAGCCAGTAGACGTGCAAAGTTTCAGAAACGAGTGTGGTGAGGGCTCAGTAGCGCCACATTTTGTCAAAAGTGGGGGGATTAGTTTTATCTACAGTAAAAAAAAAAAAACTCAGTACGTATATTGCACTCATCAAGCCGGACAACTTTCTAATTTATATTCATTAGCTCCGACCAACAGAAAGTCAGATATTTTGGTTTGAATATGGTGAGCCTCTCTCTGAGCCTACATCCCTGTATGGCAAGCCATTTTAACATTTAAAAGCTAAGTTTGACTATCCAGAATTAGCATTGTAGATATCATCAACATCTTTCTTACTAGTCATAATTACATTTTGGATAGTTTGTATTATCATTTAAGATACTTGCAACATAATTGTGACTAGTCGAAATTACAGATAGAGAAATCTGTAATACAGTTTGACTGGGCAAAACTGAATTACAGACATCTGTAATGACGTCATTGAAAGTGACATTCAACTATAAATAAATACCGCAAAGGTCCTTAATATCTCCAAACTAGTTTTGAGGTAATCCACTGCTCTCAAATAGTGTAAAATCCAGATAGCACACACAAAAAAAAAAAATCGACCACATCCACAGGTCGTAGGAATAAAACTCACCAAATGTGCAAAAACCACCAAAATAATCCCACGCTGCCACCAAATGTAACGTGAGAGTTCGGTATGTGGTGGTAGATCACTCTTTATAGTAATAAACAGCAGAATGGAGACAGAAGACTTTCTCAAGCGGCACTTTTACTGAACACCGTCACAACAACAACACTTCCTCATTACGCCTTTCACGTGACTCCACTAACCAATCAAAAGCAAGAACGTAGGCTGAGATAAACGTGAGTGATACAGAGAGGCACATTCCCAAGAATATCCTTACTGTATTAAATATGTAAACATAATTAACTGACTAAACATTGTTCTAGTAAATTAACTCAAATATAAATCGTACTCAATTCTAAGCATTACAACTTTCCAATATGAAATATGAACTCCACTTCTAAACCTTACACTATGAATATAAGTTAAACGACAAAAACAGATGAGATATTTTACAACTAATGCAAGCTGGGACAATTTCATAGTGGTTGGTGTAAACGGGACTCCTGGTCACCCTACTAATAGCCTACCCACAGCGACACTTAAAATTGAATGTCAACCTCCGGACAACTTTGCACTTTGATTAGGCTAGCCAACCGGCACATGATGGCCAGGGGAGGTGTGTCGTGAGGCGTGTTGTGAGGCGTACCCAACCTACTCGTGTTGTTTTCTGTCAGTGAGTGGACTGTCAGATTGCC